CAAACAAAACATCCACCGCCTAAGGATTCACGTACCTACTTGTTTTGAATGCAATTTTTCAAAAGCGATAAAAACTTCCTATGAATGACCATTTAACAAATTACTATTACATATGCCGTCGTGAAAAAAATTACACGTCGGCACGATTTACATAATAGAAATTGCCCTCTCTCGTCGCGAAAATATATCATTACGGGGTTGAGTGTAAAACGCGATAATAATATTAAAAAAAAATGAGTGTGTGTATACAAGCGGTATACATAAGTAATAGGCTGCGAGTATGTGTTGGAGGGATATAAATGGGACATACACGCCCTGACACGCTCTATTGATCTGACGAATTGCAAACTGGAGATGATAAATATATAGGGGACGATTTTATGTATTAGGAATTTGAAGCATTTCCTCTATTCAAAAAATCGTAACAAGTTGTTTGAGATTGAAAGCACATTGTAAATGGAATTGGACATTTTTTACAAGTACTTAGTTCTAGCTCTATGGAATGACTTCAGAAGGTATAGGGTCACTTGCTGGTTTAGCTGGTTTTGTGCTGAATTTTGCTGGTTTTTATTATTATTTGCTGGTTTCGCAGCACAAAACCAGCAAAATCCGCCGATTTTCCCACGGTATCGAAAAAGTTCCCAGCATAAGGTAGCTTCTTACTAAAACGATGAAATTTCAATTGTTTTTTTTTGTCGTGATTTTGTATCCTAATGGTCAATCAACATACCCCAAACTCCATACACTAAATTATTCTCAGATTTGAAGCCGAAATCTATGAAAAAAGGCACTCAGAAATATTGAAAAAATTGATAAATCACCCCAAATTGCTTAACACGATTTTATCTCAGGAACTATAAACCCAAATGAGTTGAAGTTTTCAGGAATTGTAGTCCCTTCATTCGGATAAAATTCAGTGAAAGTTTCAGCTTTCTATCTATAATAGAAAGAAAGTCAGTGGCGGCTCGTCAGAGGAGGCAGGGGAGGCTAAACCTCCTCAAAAAATTGAAAATTCAATCTCAATTTTTCTAATTGAAATAATATAATTCACAAATAACACAACAGAATTCCAATTTTCGATATTTCAATGTGATTTAGAAAAATCTGACAACATTGTTTCAATTAATCCCGCGCCTCCACGACAAAAATCTGTGAATTTGGGATACTAAGTAATACCGGCCCGAAGGGCCGGAGTTTTATGCGAGCCCGAAGGGCCGGAGTTTTATGCGAGCCCGAAGGGCCGGAGTTTTATGCGAGCCCGAAGGGCCGGAGTTTTATGCGAGCCCGAAGGGCCGGAGTTTTATGCGAGCCCGAAGGGCCGGAGTTTTATGCGAGCCCGAAGGGCCGGAGTTTTATGCGAGCCCGAAGGGCCGGAGTTTTATGCGAGCCCGAAGGGCCGGAGTTTTATGCGAGCCCGAAGGGCCGGAGTTTTATGCGAGCCCGAAGGGCCGGAGTTTTATGCGAGCCCGAAGGGCTAGAGTTAAACGCGAGCCCGAAGGGCCGGAGTTATACGCGAGCCCGAAGGGCTAGAGTTATTTTAATCACGGGACTCAGTCTATAATTCTATTGGTCAGCGGATAATTTGGAGCCAATTAAAAACCGGGAGTATTTAAAATGCGATTTTTAGCGTCCAATCAAAGAGCCGGGAATATTCAAAAACTTTAGTTTTATCAAATTGACTTTGGAATGTTGATTTTCTTAAGATTTTTACTTTTTTCAGAAAACGGTCGGTGGTTTTAGCAAACATATACTACTTTATCGTTGTCTTTGTCTTAATCATTAATAATTAATTAATAATCATTATTAATTAATTATTAAATTGAATTTTAAACAAAAAACGCTTTTAAAATGTTATTTTTGTTTTTCGAGATGTGATTTGGCAACGTTGCTTTTAGTTGGCCATTTTGAAGTGACGTCTTGTGATTTTTTGCCAGTTTTTTTCTCGAATTTTCGAGAGTTTTTATTGGAAAAAAAGCGATTTAACATACAAGGTTTTGAGTTTTCTTCATTTTTAAGTAAAAATTTCTAGTTTCAAATACCATAATTAGCAATCCCATTTAAAATGCTTTTGATGTGGCAACATCGCTTGTGGCTAAATTCAATCAAGGAAGCATTTTTGACAGTCGGCCATTTGCAATTGACGTGTTTATATTGTTATTCAGTTTTTCTTCGAATTTTTCACTTTTCCGGGGCTTTTTCAGTCGGGAAAACTGATTTAAAGTACGAGGCTTTGAGTTTTTTTCATTTTTCATCAAAAATGTCCAGTGTTTTAACGGGGTAAGTGAGAAAAACTTTAGTTTTATCAAGTAGGTTTTGGAAGACGTTCGGCGTTGCCAGGCGGTTGGTTTTTGACATATATCGAAGAAACTTCTAATTTTAGGGTTTTCGGAGCCTGGGGATCGTTTTCTGACATTTGTTTTTTTGAAAAAAAAAGAAGGTAAAAATTTTTGACATTGACATTTGTCAAAATATAAAAAAAAACCACATGGACCTATAGATTTAGCCTCGGCGAATACGTAGAAAGTAGCCAAACAGGGCCGATTTTTTGACGTTTGTTGTATTTGAGCAGCGTTGCCATATGTTTTTTTTTCGAATCTCGATTCTGGAGGGCTGAGGTTATCTCAATTATGAGCACAAAGGGCCGAAGTTATACGAGTCTGAAGGGCCGGAATCATGCGAATCCGAAGGGTCGGAGTTATATGAGAACCCGAAGGGCCGAAGTTAAATGCCAGCCCGAAGGGCTGGAGTTATATGAAAGTCCGAAGGACTAGAGTTATATGCGAGCCCGAAGGCCGGAGTTCTAGGAACCGACAAGCCGGAGTTATTTTAATCACGAGCCCGAAGGGCCGGAGTTATACGAGCCCGTTCATTGTCAACCGATTTTAATACTCTAGCCCTTCGGGCTCGTAACCTTCAAGAAGCCATTTTGTATCAATTGTCAATAAAAAAACAAGGCCTACTTTGAAATTTAAATTTTTTGACGTTTGTTGTATCATGAGCAGTGTTGCCATATGTTTTTTTTTTTCAAATCTAGAAATAGAATATTATGAAAAATTCCCTTCTCCCGAAGCAAAAAGTTTCTCATGAGGGGGCGGCAAAACGAGCTCCTGCACGAGGGCGGCCAAAGAGCTAGAACCGGCCCTGACATCGGAGAGAACTGAAACTCGGAATATCAACTTAAAATCACATTTTGGATATTCCCGATTTTTGATTGGTTCAAAATTATCCACCCAAATTATCCAATAGAATTATAGACTGGGCCCCGTAATTAAAATAACTTTAGCCCTTCGGGCTCGCGTATAACTCCGGCCCTTCGGGCTCGCGTATAACTACGGCCCTTCGGGCCGGCGAAATTTGGAAAGTGTAATTTGTGAATTATTATTTTAATTAGGAATGAGGAATAAAAAACTGAGACTGAATTTTCAACTTTTTGGGGGAGGCTTAGCCTCCCCTGCTTCCTCTGACGAGCCGCCACTGTGAAAATTTGTATACAAGTTGGTCAAAATCCCAGAAGAACTCGTAAGATCTACTTAAAATCACTGAAAATCTTTAAAATCTTTTAGCCTCCTCACTTGAAATAGTCACGAGCCGCCACTGAAAAAAGTTATAACCTTTCAAAGTTTTCCAAAATCCCTGCTTACTAAACGATGAAATTTCAATTTTTTCTTTGTCGAGATTTTGTATCCTTATGGTCATTCAACATCTTCCAAACTCCATACACTAAATTATTCTCAGATTTGAAGCCGAAATCTATGAAAAAGGGCACTCAGAAAAATTGATAACACTTACTTCTAACTTTATAGAATGACGTCAGTAGATATAGGGTCACTTGAGCCTGGGAAGTTTTTCGATACCGTCGGAAAATCGGCGAACTTTGCTGGTTTTGTGCTGGTTTCATACTGGTTCCGTGCTAGATTTTGCTGGTTTTCACTATTGTTTGCTGGTTTCACAGCACAAAGCCAGCAAAATCCGCCGATTTTCCCACGGTATCGTAAAAGTTCTCAGGCTCAAGTGACCCTGCTATACCTACTGACCTCTGAATTGTTCAAACATGGTCAAAGATCAATTCAGTCACTTTTTGTAACCTATAGTTGATAGCTCCCTCAATCAGAAAAAGCAATAAACTGATAGGACAATAGTTCTGACTGAAAATTTTAGTTTTCTCAGGTACTCGAACTGAATCAGTTTCAGAATGGAGTTGATATCAAGGCCATTAGATCATCAATTCCATTGATTAATTATAAATTTTCTGATTCTTATCTCCATCTAGATGTTCATTTAGGCGGCTTTTCCTCTCTAAAATCTTGAAAAAATGTACAGGCCTATCTCAACCTTTAAATAGCTTTAGCTAGTTTCTAGATAGTTTCAGACACTAAGTTTTTTTGAAACACAAAATATTCAACAGATTATCTTGAGTAATGTTTAGTTTAGAAAAAAATTACTGTCTGAAGCTGGCTAAAAACTAGCTAGAGCTATATATAGATCAGTAAATCACATTTTCAAATAATCCTTCAGTTGCTTTATCAATAAAATAATAGAGTGAGATTGCTTAATGCAGAAGGGTAAAGCATTGAATTCCTTAGAAGCTTGAAATATTGGGTTATTTAAACCTTTATTTCTTCTTACGTTGTCCTGATATTATGTTATGTGATCTAGTACAATAAGATATTTGTATTTAATTTTAGATGATTGTTCATAGCAGAGCTGGAATTATTGAATATTCAAAAGAATCATGTTTCAAATTTGGGATAGTATTTAGGTAATGGCGAAAAAGTTTATCTTTCAACGCTCATATCTCAAAGACCGTAATACCTACAAGATTTCGTCCCATTTTTAAAAGTTGTTAAGGATCAAATCCTCTACAACATATCAAAATATAGCCCAAAAATCCCAAGTAAGGTGTGCGTTATCCTTTGGAAAATTCAAAGGTTTAAAAACTGTAGATTCTTCTCAAAAAAACCCTTAATAGAACAATGATAAAAACATTTTTTTTTTTTCAGAGGTGCTTTCTCCGTAGTTAGAAGATGCGTACAAAAATCCACTGGCTTAGAATTCGCCGCCAAAATAATAAATACAAAGAAGTTGTCCGCAAGAGGTAAGCCAACAGAAACCGATTTATTTTTATTGTCCTTTTGCAGGCCCCATATCGTACCCGCTGGGGTATTAGTCAAACATAAACCAGTCCGCATTATCATTATACTAATGTCCCTTTGCGCCTTATTGGGAAATAATGTGCTGTTTTTTTTCTTTTTTTAAATCGAGCTTTATTTGGTCATCTCGCTACTTGATGGGGACCACCTTGTATTAAAGATATTTCAATAATTGAAAAACACAAAGTGACATTTAAATTTGCCTCTTTTTTCTTTTGTAGATTTCCAAAAACTAGAACGAGAGGCTCGCATCTGCAGGAAATTGCAACACCCAAATATAGGTATGTACTTATGAATAAATGATATTAACAATAAAATATTGATATACCTAAGTGTTTTCTATATTAAAAAACACTCTTTTTTCTTGTATTTTTGTTTTTTGCTTTTTTTCATGTTTTTGTTCATCAATTTCTACCAAAAAAGAATCTAAACATAAATGTGTGATTGCAGGTGGATTAGTAGAGATCTGCGTACATAAATCACCCTGTATACATATAGATTCTTTTTTGGCTGATTAATTTTTCATCCAAAAAAAAAAAATTGTATTTTTAACTTGTTTGTTTTTCATTTGTAAATAGTTAACAATCCCGAGGTGCTCAAGCATTTAGGTAATAGTCCTTTTTCCAGTTTTCTTATTATATTTAATTTTATATATTATTATTCTCTTCTTTTCGTATCTTTGTTATAAATGTTGTGCCGTTCATTTTTTTTTTTTTTCCTTTGATTTTTAAATTAGTTACGATTGTCGTGCCTGGTTTAAAAATAATACAAAAAATACAGGGTGTATACCATTTAAAACGAAACAGGCTGAATATCTCTGATGCCACGTTTATTATTTAGAAAAATCGCTCGTACACGTAATTTGATTTTTAAAGGGGAAAGTTTTCAGCAATGATTTTCAGCACATCAACTTCAACCCCTCTAGGCGGGGTGGGAACACTATTTCAAATGGAACAAGGGGTCGAGTGATACCTCTTTTAAAAGAGCGTTCAATTAATTTGAAAGAAAATTGAATTTTTGAAATAGGTATCATTCCATTTGGTATGCGGAATTTATGGGTGAGCCCCTGCGGGACGAGCGCAGCGAGTTCCGCAGCCATCTATTCACCAATATGTTGTTCAAGTACAATACTAACTTGACTCATCTTGAGTCATCTATTCATAAATACGTTGTTCAAGTACGATACTAACCTGACTCACTCAAATGTCAGTTACTCTCATTAGTTCAAAAACTACAAGTCACAAGTTTCAGGTGAGTGTCATATTTGAATAGTTCAACAGTATATTGGTGAGTAGATATGGCTGCGGAACTCGCAGCGCTCATCCCACAGAGGTCCACCCATAAGTTCCGCAACTTATTTGTACTTGAACAATACCTTATTATATGAAGTCAAAATTTGTAAGATTATAATTATTCACTCTTTGTCAATTTGCCTTTCAACAGAAAATAAGTAATGTTGCTTTACCAAACTAGTAACATAATGTGCCAAAATGTTTAAGTACAAATGAATGGATTGTTGCGGAACTTATGGGTGTATCTCTGCGGGACAAGTAACAAATTTATGTACTTTACATTACATTTGAATTCCATTATACGACACTTCGAAATCCTAATTCGAATAGTCCTTTTGAGAGATTACATTCTACCATCTATTTATCAATATACTGTTCAATTACTGTCCGCAGCCATCTATTTATCAATATGTTGTTTAATTACGATACTAAACTGACTCACTCAAATGTGTTATTCTCATTAGTTTAAAAATGACACGTTTCAAGTGAATGTCTTACTTGAACAATTCTGTCATGTATCATGTCTTGCCTAGTTCGCAACCAACAGTTGATAATGTCATGCCTGGGTCTAGGCAACGGAATAATCAGGAATTCCAAATTTATAATACTTTTGAATACTCTGTAACAGAGGATAGAACTAAGGTTTTTACTGTTTACTACGTTTATTTCATGCGTTGTATCCGGATATTGAGTGGATTAAGGATTATTAATCCATGTTCATTTATTTCACGACTATCAAATGGATTAAGATTAGTGCTAATCCTTTCTTAAGCCTTGTCAAAAGCGCAAGCCCAAATTGCTTTGTGTCCAACTCCATTAAAGGTAATCAGCCGATACACTTTTTATTAGGTTTAGATCATTTTTTCTTGAAGTTAGCAACAAACTTCTTAAATCCGAGATTTTAAGTCCAATCCTACAAATTTGGAGCATCGGATTAAGTATCCGATCCGGATAAACTGTCTAATCCTGGGTGTTTATTTCAGGATTATTATTCTTCATTATTAATCCAATTCACTTAGTATCTGGATAGAATGTATGAAATAAACGTAGTCAATGTTCTAACCAAAATAGCAAAAAGTGGACTAACTTTAAATTTAGAAAAATCAAAATTTTATCAAAAAACAGTTAATATTCTTGGACATATAATAAGTGAAAGTGAGGTTTCTCTAGATAATAATAAAAGCCAAGCAATAAAAAACATCAAACCGGCCCGAAGGGCCGGAGTTACACGCGAGCCCGAAGGGCCGGAGTTATACACAAGCTCAAAGGGCCGGATAGAGTTATATGCGAACCTGAAGGGCCGGAGTTATACGCGAGCCCGAAGGGCTAGAGTTATTTCAATCACGGGGCTAAAGCGGCGTTTCCACAAGCATAGTTTATTGGTGCCAGTGTACATGCCAGTTTGCTGGCGTAATAATAGTGGCGCCACTATCTGTTTCCACTTGATATCAGAAACTTTTAACTGGCGCAGTAGAAAAACGACGTAAACTGAAGAGGTTCAAGCAGGTTTTAATGTTGTTGTAGAAATTTTGTTACTAGAATTGCAGAAGATACGTAAAAACAAGAAGAATTAAGGTACATAAACACAAGATCTGGTACGAAAATGGATTTCACGCAGAAAAGCTCCAAATAATTTACTGTCTGGTTAGCGGATGAAGACCATTAAGCATGTGTAGGTACTGCTTCTTGTTTTACTTTCAGCAGTGGTAACATCAAAACCACTTACGAACCCGAACTCGAATATTACCTCAACACTCATCCTTTATAGCATCATCCCTCATTTATTCCTGTCTTCGTAACACAGAAGTTTGTGATTCCACAAACAGTATTTGAACAGTTCAACAGTATATTGGTGAGTAGATGGTAGAATGTAATCTCTCAATAGGACTATTCGAATTAGGGTTTCGAAGTGTCGTATAATGGAATTCGATTTTATGTGAAGTACATAAATCTGTTACAATTGCATTTTTAAATTCAGTTCCATTATTGGAAGTAATTCTTTGTGGAATTCTATGGTCACTGAAATATCTCATTATTTGTGATGCAATCTCAACTGAAGTTTTGCTAATAATTGGGACAGCTTGTGCAAACTTCGAAAAGCTGTCAATAGTTAGGAATTTCTGATTCAAAACAACGTATGTATCAATATAAAGGTGTTTGAAGGGCTTGGAACCAGTTGGTTTAAATATTATTTTGTAAGGTTGCCTTTCATATTTTGTCTTATTACATATTTTGCATGTTTTGACATTATGCTTGGAATTACCGGAATTACTTCAAAAAAGCATGTAATGCGCAATACATGTACAAATTTTGGTCTAGTTGATACCCCCTCGGATGAGTGTCTTATTTGAATAGTTCAACAGTATAGATGGTAGAATGTAATCTCTCAATAAGACTATTCGAATTAGGGTTTCGAAGTGTCGTATAATGGAATTCAAATGTAATGTAAAGTACCTAAATCTGTTACTTGTCTCGCAAAGATACACCCATAAGTTCCGCAATAATCCACTTATTTGTACTTGAACAATAACTTATTATGTAAAGTCAGAATTGGTAAGATTATTCACTTTTTGTCAATTTGCCTTTCAACAGGAATTAGTAATGTTACTTTACCAAACTAGTAACATAATGTGACAAGTTATTCAAGTACAAACGAGTGGATTGTTGCGGGACGAGCGTAGCGAGTTTCGCAGCCATCTATTTACCAATATACTGTTAAACTATTCAAATAAAACACTCACCTGAAACGTATAGTTTTTAAACTAATGAGAATAACTCACATATCGATGAATAGATGGCTGCGGAACTCGCTGCGCTCGTCCCGCAGGGGTCCACCCATAAGTTCCGCAATAATACACTTATTTGTACAGGGTGTTTTTTATGTATTGACACCCCACCTAAAGCCTCTACCTTCACAGGTAGAAGAAAGGTGTAAATACCAAAGTTGTACAGTTTTGATTGAATGTTTAGAAACCATAGTCAGAAACAAAATTTGAATATCAGAAATGTAAAATTTGTATATTTCATTCTATATTCTTGAAGAGCACAATGCCTTGATTCCAAAAATATATAATTTGTCTATATTTGATTGAATAGTCTCTCATATATATATATATAAATATTCCGTTCCAAAAATTGTAAAAATACTATTTTGCTACTGATTTTGTGTACTGGTGAAAGCTGTAGGTAAAATTTGAGGTACTTGGTTTTTCTGATATTATTTTTAAAATTTTTAGAACCAAATATGTTGGAGACGACTCAACCAAATATAGATAAACTATATAGTTTTGGAATCGGGAAATTGTGTTCTTCAAGAATACAGAACCAAATATAACGCATCCCATTTGAGAAAAGCTGAAAGCATGCAATATTTCAGATTTCTGACATTCAATTTTTGTTTTTGACCATATGGATTCTAAAAATTTAGCCAATGCTGTACAACTTTTGAATTTACACCTTTCATCTACTTGTAAAGGTAAAGGCTGTAGGTGGGGTGTCAATATATAAAAAAACACCTTGTACATAGGATTAAATTCATACTAACAGGGAAGGTATCACATACACAATCCAAGTGACATCAAATATTTAGTCTGTTTCGTTTTAAATGGTAAACTCTGTATATAGACGCATGCCGATTTTTATGAAAAATCATTGTCATTCTATAATCTTGTTGAGCCATTGTAGTTTTAGTTTTTATTTCCGATTATTTTAAGCTTTAATTAAGGCCGAACAATGCTTTATAATTACCGTTAATAATAAATATAATTAGGCGATAATTAAAATTCAAGTAATTATTTATTAATACATTGAAAGCAAATAATTATTCTGATTAACAATAATTATCTGTTTGTAAAATGATAAATGCAGTTAGGGTGGTATTGACGTTTGCGTTATTTAACGTTAAAAGTTTCAATATTTAATTCATAGGCAGATGGACAATGGCCAGCACAATCTATCAGGCCCTTAGTTTTTATTGGTTTATTTTTGGAAAAATTGTCAAATTTCAACATCAAAATAACGTAACCGTTAATGCTGCGCAACGCTATAAATGCACCTACCTTGATTTCCCTAATAAGTACATTACGCTAATTAAAACTTTAGTCAGTATAGCGGCAATTATCGATCAATAATAGAATGATCGCACAGCATAATTTAATAAGCTTATTGATTTATTAATCGGTGCGTAGCTTTATTTTATAAGGGGATTCGAATTTACTATACATCTAATCTTACCTGGATATTGGCACCTCTATATCCGGCAAAGGACTGAAAAAGAAAAACAATAAATTAATTTCACATATTGCAGCATTTAGAAAATATCACTCTACTATTTTACATAAATTTTTTATCAAAAAAAGTTGGCTTGTTGAAACACGAAAAATATCCAACTAACAATGATAAATTATTACTCAAGATGATACATTTCCCCGGAGAATTCTCTCAACTCGTTAACAAGGTATTCAGCCGGGATCCAGAGTTGCAATTCGGCCCTGGAATTAATTAAAGTCCAGCAGGTAATTTGATGTCGGGGTGCACAATAATAATAAATTATCGATTCCAATTAAAATTTCCAGGAAGGTTCCCCGAAATAAATATTTTCGTGTTGTCAAATTACTAAGAAGTTTTCTCTGAAACTCGAGAGAATGAGATAAAAGATTTGTTGAACTTGAAGTTGAAAGAGGACAACTAGGTAATAGGAGATAAATCCACAAGATGCGGACGAAAAAGCGATTAAAAAAATATAAAAGATCAACGTTTATATTGATTTTTAATGTAATTTTTTCTTTCAATAAGCCACACGCGTATACAAGACTCTATGGATAAACTCCATCCATAATTCACGAGGCCTCCCTTATTTTCTAAAAATAACCCACGTGCACTCGCTCATTTATTAAAGTCCGAAAACTACAGACAATCGATACTCGACTAGACTTTCGAGAAAGAAAAAAAAAACAATAATAAAACGTGTGTCGTTTAACGTGAAGTTATGCACGAAAAGCCGAAACTTAGAAAGACAAAGGATAAATTGGATTAGTTTAGATGTGTGGGGTGACGCTGTCGAGGCAACGTGAAAATCAATGGTACCTTGTTGATCTTCAGAAGTTGTAATTACGCAATTGGAATATGTGGGATAAAGGTGGAAATGTCAGAGTTCTAGAGAAAAAACTACGAAAATCGTAGTTTGACGGCCAAAATTGACATTTCAATGCCATAGCTTTAACACTAGAATTGTCAAAAATTGGAGTTTACTATAGTCTTAGAGAGCCTGGAATAAGATTTTTATTTATCACAATAGGTCAATGGGTCTCCGTGTGCAGAGTGTAGGGCAAACCCTTGGATTGAATTTTGGAAACATGATCTTTTGAGAACTGGATTTTAATTCACAAGACAATTCACTGCAAAAATCTGGTCTTTGATATCTGAACCTAAATGATCATTCGGAAGCCCCCAACATTTGTTTCCATATTTTCAAGTGAGGTTCCCTAAACCTAAACGGTGTATACCTTATAACTTCCAGTAGTGCTTTGATACAGCTATACTGGGCCTAAAGATATAGCTTTAGATAACTATGCCTTATGTGAAAATTTGACTCCAAATATATAACTCTAGAACGCAGTAAACATGTAAATAAAACTGCACCAAATTTCAATTTTTTTTGCATGCCAGACAGTAATTGTTAATCAAAACTTCACTAATCCTGGTTTCTTTTTTTTCCAGTGAGATTACACGATAGTATACAGGAGGAAAACTTCCATTACTTAGTGTTTGATTTGTAAGTACAAACAAACTTTATTATATTGTTGTTGATTGGGTTTTCTTATTCCAGGGTAACTGGTGGCGAACTTTTCGAAGACATCGTAGCACGAGAATTTTATTCAGAAGCCGACGCGTCCCACTGTATACAACAAATTCTAGAATCTGTAAATCATTGTCATCAAAATGGCGTTGTACATAGAGATCTCAAGGTAATTGATTTCTGGTTGAATTTGAGAGGGGTAGTAACTGTGTTTTACAAGATATATGAAGTGACTACTCCCTCAAACTGATCCAAATTCTATTTCAGCCGGAAAATCTTCTATTGGCAAGTAAAGCGAAAGGCGCGGCAGTTAAACTGGCCGATTTCGGTTTGGCGATCGAGGTGCAAGGCGAACAGCAGGCTTGGTTCGGTTTCGCCGGTACGCCCGGGTACTTATCGCCCGAAGTACTCAAAAAGGAACCCTACGGAAAACCGGTCGATATTTGGGCTTGCGGAGTCATCCTCTACATCCTGCTGGTCGGTTATCCGCCGTTCTGGGACGAAGACCAACATCGGTTGTATGCCCAAATTAAAGCTGGAGCTTACGACGTAAGAACTTGAATCAATAATTTTAAATTTTATACTAATTGCTATATAGTATCCCAGTCCGGAATGGGACACTGTCACTCCTGAAGCAAAGAATCTCATCAATCAAATGCTCACAGTGAATCCTGGAAAACGAATTACGGCTGCTGATGCCCTCAAACATCCCTGGATATGCGTAAGTTGCTTCTAGAATTATCTAAATAATTCTTTATAACAATTATTCTTCTAGCAAAGAGAAAGAGTTGCGTCTGTTGTACACCGACAAGAAACTGTGGATTGTCTCAAGAAATTCAATGCTAGGCGTAAGCTTAAGGTGAGTCAATTTTGAATACTTAAATTTCTGAAATTTTACATTGATTATTACAGGGTGCTATTTTGACCACAATGCTTGCCACCAGAAATTTTTCGAGTAAGTTTCCTTTAAATTCTGCTCAGAAACAAATCACTTACTTACTAACAATAGTTGAAAATGTTCTAATTTTTTGATAGACAATGGAACACTATTGGGCAATACTTGAACACTAGAGAAATATTTAATAATCAAAAATCTGAATGGCATATGGACTGGGTGTCTCAAAACTTTTGGGACACCCTATATATATATATAGATTATACTCTATTGCCTAAAAATATAAAGCTATAGTATTTTTAATACCTATTTGGAAGTCGTTTTAATGATTTCTGATTGGTTGGTAATTTTTTTGTTTCATCTGATTCTTGATTGATGAACAAGGATAGGGTATTAAAAATACTATATAATTGAATTTTCTTTTGCTCAAACACATATTACTACATCTCTGTATACCATACACGTGATTTTCTTGTAAAGTGTCAGAGAGAGAAGGCACGTTTGTAGTAATTCTATCTGACATTGGGAAGTCGCGTTTTGCACAATCACTACACGCTATCTTTATAATATCTTATACTCCCTCTTCCTTTATCTTATTTGGAACAGTTGGAAATATTTGATTTTAGAGTTGTAATAATAGAATCACCCTGTAAATTCAAATGCGAATATGAGATTTTGAGGGAATATTTTTTTTGTTGAGATTTTGTGTCTTAATAGTCAATTGGGATCCCCCAAACTCCATACACTAGATAATTCTCAGATTTGAAGCCGAAATCTATGAAAAAAGGCACTCAGAAAAATTGAAAAATTGATAAATCACCCCAAATTGCTTAACACGATTTTATCTCAGGAACTATAAGTGCAAATGAGCTGAAATTTTCAGGGATTATAGTCCTCTGAAAGGGATAAAATTCAGTGAAAGTTTCAGGTTTCTATCTATAATAGAAAAAAAGTTATGACTTGTCAAAGTTTTCCAAAATCTAAATCATAAGGTAGGTACCTTCCTACTAAAACGATGAAATTTCAAATTTTTTTTTTGTTGAGATTTTGTGTCCTAATGGTCATTTGGGATCCCACGAAGTCCATACACTAAATTATTCTTAGATTTGAAGCTGAAATCTATGAAAAAAGGCGCTCAGAAAAATTGAAAAATTGATAAATCACCCCAATTTGCTTAACACGATTTTATCTCAGGAACTATAAGTGCAAATGAGCTGAAATTTTCAGGGATTATAGTCCTCTGAAAGGGATAAAATTCAGTGAAAGTTTCAGGTTTCTATCTATAATAGAAAAAAAGTTATGACCTTTCAAAGTTTTCCAAAATCTAAATCATAAGGTAGGTACCTTCCTACTAAAACGATGAAATTTCAAATTTTTTTTTTGTTGAGATTTTGTGTCCTAATGGTCATTTGGGATCCCACGAAGTCCATACACTAAATTATTCTCAGATTTGAAGCTGAAATCTATGAAAAAAGGCGCTCAGAAAAATTGAAAAATTGATAAATCACCCCAATTTGCTTAACACGATTTTATCTCAGGAACTATAAGTGCAAATGAGCTGAAATTTTCAGGGATTATAGTCCTCTGAAAGGGATAAAATTCAGTGAAAGTTTCAGGTTTCTATCTATAATAGAAAAAAAGTTATGACCTTTCAAAGTTTTCCAAAATCTAAATCATAAGGTAGGTACCTTCCTACTAAAACGATGAAATTTCAAATTTTTTTTTTGTTGAGATTTTGTGTCCTAATGGTCATTTGGGATCCCACGAAGTCCATACACTAAATTATTCTCAGATTTGAAGCTGAAATCTATGAAAAAAGGCGCTCAGAAAAATTGAAAAATTGATAAATCACCCCAATTTGCTTAACACGATTTTATCTCAGGAACTATAAGTGCAAATGAGCTGAAATTTTCAGGGATTATAGTCCTCTGAAAGGGATAAAATTCAGTGAAAGTTTCAGGTTTCTATCTATAATAGAAAAAAAGTTATGACCTTTCAAAGTTTTCCAAAATCTAAATCATAAGGTAGGTACCTTCCTACTAAAACGATGAAATTTCAAATTTTTTTTTTGTTGAGATTTTGTGTCCTAATGGTCATTTGGGATCCCACGAAGTCCATACACTAAATTATTCTCAGATTTGAAGCTGAAATCTATGAAAAAAGGCACTCAGAAAAATTGAAAAATTGATAAATCACCCCAAATTGCTTAACACGATTTTATCTCAGGAACTATAAGTGCAAATGAGCTGAAATTTTCAGGGATTATAGTCCTCTGAAAGGGATAAAATTCAGTGAAAGTTTCAGGTTTCTATCTATAATAGAAAAAAAGTTATGACCTTTCAAAGTTTTCCAAAATCTAAATCATAAGGTAGGTACCTTCCTACTAAAACGATAAAACTTCAAATTTTTTTTTGTTGAGATTTTGTCCTTATGGTCAATCAACATCCCCTAAACCCCATACGCTGAATTATTCTCAGATTTGAAACCGAAATCCATGAAAATAGGCACTCAGAAAAATTGATAAATCACCTCCAATTGCTTAACATGATTTTATTTCAGGAATTATAAGTTCAACCAACTGAGCTGAAATTTTCAGGGATTGATTGATGCTTAGAGGCAAAAACATACTGAAAATCTCACTTGAATTTCTAAGTTACAGGGTGGACAACATACAAAAAATATTTCCAAATTGTTCCAAAAATTTTTCTCTCTCCCCCACACACTATTAGTAGGCTACTTACTTTGCATTAAAAACTTTTAACTTAGACTTTAGTTGAGCATTTGGGTAGTTGGTTAATTTTGTTTTGTCGGTTGACGCGCGGACTTGTCACCTTACCTCACTTCACTTCACCTATATTGACGCAACCAGAATGCGGTAAGAACACACTTAATTATGATGCAACTTAAAAATAAGCCACATTTTTAGTTTTTTAATTCATTTCGCTTTTGTTGCTTATATTTGGTGTATGAGAATTAGGTTTAATAAACCTGATATTATTAATTAAGGCTTGCGCATGCGTTTCTTTTTTATTCAAATTCATTTAGACAGCTTTGTTTGAACCCACCTTTACATTTTTTCATCAAGGATATATTCACTCACATTCCACGCTTCATTTTTCAATTAATTAATGTATAATGTATGTAATTTTTTTTTTCTAAATTAATTACGTAATTAAATAAAGGCACCTACACACTATATATTATTAATTACTTAATTCAAAGATTTTAAATTATTATCGTGTAAGAGCCATTATTTATTATTTTTGATGAATTGGCTTATTTTTTCTCAAATTTAATAATTATTAATTAATTTAAAACTAATTCTAATTAAATTCTAGGCAGAAGTATAATTGTCAAAAAAGGAGATGGATCTCAAGTGAAAGAGAGCACCGACAGTTCTACCACCCTAGAAGATGACGACATCAAAGGTAAGATTAAGTTTTTCTTATATATATAATGTCACATGCCTTTATAATATATTGTATATACATACTATAGGAGCCCTTGTTCTTCATATTATTCTTCCCCCTATAAAACCTTGTGTATATGTTTCTAAAAAAAAAAAAATCATTCATCCACATACCACTGGTTTATTTTTTAAAGTAATGTCTCTAGTGTTTTTTGGTTTTTTCCTGAAAATCTATTTTAGATGAATGCTTTTTCTATATGTTTCCAATATTCCAGTTTTATCCAAAAAAAAAAAATTCAAAAGTCCAATTGTCCGAACCGTATTTGTCTGGACAAATACTGTTAGGACAAGGAATGTTTTTTTTTTTGATAAAATCAATGTTTTTGGCACACTTGATCTTTCTTTGTTCATCCTATACACGCCCCCATTATTATTGTGTTGCAGACATTTTTACGAAAACCTTTAAAGCACCAATACTTTGGCATGCCTTATTGCATTTCGCTCCCCCCTCAACTTTCCCACCCTGCAATTTAGGGATTTTATAATGTGTTCCTAAAGCTGGACGATCAAAATCCAATAATTTTCTAATGATTCAAAAGCCAGTAATGAACTATACCCGGATCTTGATTTTGTCTGGAAATGTTTCTGGTGAGTTGGAAAAGCCTTTAGGGAAACGCTGATTCGATGAACCCAAACTACATCAGCTAGTGATCGGGTTAATCAGATCAGCGTTTCTGTGAGGACAATTGGAAAGGGCTACATCTACTTAAATTGAAATGACGTCAATGAGACATTGCATTTCTATTAAATTCTTGTGAATATTCTCAAAAATATTCGCATTCAAGATGCTCTTCCAGCTTTAGAAACATTTGATTTTGTATATGAATAAGTATATCAATATGGGGTCATTTGCAATTTGGTGACAATTATTCAAATGACCCTATAATTATTATGTCTTCCGGACAATAAAGATAATTTCTTTGTGTTCTGGACAACGTTCAGAAGACAAGAAGGGCGGCGTCGACCGTAGTTCAACGGTAATTGCGAAAGAACCCGAAGGTAAATCCCTTTTCTAAGTATTATCATTTTTTTAACATCCTTTATATCGCATTTGTACGCAACAATAGATTTTCCACCAATTCAAGTTTATCTCAAAATTTAGCCATTAAACGGAAAAATCAATGACATGAAATGGGGACATCTTTTACCTAAATAATGTGAAATTTGAAACGACAAAATGTTGAAAGTCGTCATTATTATACAAATTGGAATAGAATACCTAAATATACATTTTTATAATTGTTGCGAACCGATGCGGATTTTGAAAAACACATATTAATTTATATAATTGCAGACGTTTTGTTCAATTGCCACATGATTCAAATCAGTACCTGCTTATACTAATTGCTAGTTTGTCCATATTAATATTGAAACAAAAATATGGCTGCATTTTTTTTTTCTTCGTCCCATAATTATTATTGTCGTTTCAATGTTTTTATTCCATCATCAGGACTGCAATTTCCAAATTTTGTAGCCCTGATGATGATGTAATGAAAACACTGAAACGTTCCATATTTTGTTTGAATTTGAACGAACTCAAAGGTAAATATTACGTAGAATAATTCCATTGCATGATAGTAATTGTTGTTGCTAGAATAATTAGAGTAGGGTTGGCAAAAATCCGGCTAATTGTATTAAAGTGGATAGAAAATTGGAACTTTAGAACATTCTAAAAAACACTTCTGTACTTATTTAAAACTTCAATTATTAGAAGTATCCAAAAGTGCTTAAAAATTGAAGTTTATGTTTAAAAAAATCCAAAAATAACTATTCAAACTTCGTTATTCTACAAATAAACTATCGCTGGGATATACCGCCTTAAAGTATGTGTGACGTCAGGTCAAAATTCCAGAAAATCTGGGAAGAATTACTTTTGAAATCCCTAGGAATCTTTAAAATCCCCAAAAAATCTCTAAAAATCCCTTAAAATCTCTAACATCTAAAAACTCACTTGGATGTTTATCCTTTCGAATGTAACACTTGTAAAGCGAAATTTAAATGGATAAGCAATTTGAAGCAACATCTTCAAACTCACTCGGACAAAGGGCAAACCACCTAGGAATTCTTTGCCAAAAATGTGGGGAATTTAAAGGAATTTGTGGGAAATTAAGAAGAATTTGTGGGGAATTTGAAGGAACTCATCGAAATTTATGAGAATTTAGGGAATTTATAGGGAATCTGGAAGTATTTTTATGTGGAATTTGGGAGAATTTGTGAGGAATTTGAAGGAAATTGTAGGGTCATGACATCACTGAGGTTCACATTCTTATTATAAGGAATAGTAATAAATGGAAATTTTAAATAAAACCTAGTTTTGTGTTAGACATTTTTATTAAAGAAATCCTTCCAAAATTACACTTCATGATTTACAGGTCCAAATTTAAAAAATTCAAAAGAATAATGAATACAGTTTTTGTAGGCTGTTTTCCAAAATTTTTCATGTTACTGTTTTTAAATGGAAAAATTTGAAACTTTGGGAAAATGAGCTTCGTACCTTCCTCTCTACATGCAAAAAGTTTCAAAGTTTTCCCTTCACTAGTTTTCCAGGAAAACTTTGAAATGTGTAAGACTGTATTTTCAATTAATTCAGTTATTGTAGGTTGATTTCCAAGATTCCTCATGTTGTAATTTTCTACTGCAAAAATTTGAAATTTTGAGAAAATGAGCTTCTCACCTTCCTCTTTACATACAAAAAGTTTCAAAATTTTCCCTTCACTAGTTTTCCAGGAAAACTTTGAAATATGTGAGACTTTATTCTCAATTAATCCAGTTATTGTATGTTGATTTCCAAGATTCCTCATGTTCTAATTCTCTAATGGAAAAATTTGAAATTTTGGGAAAATGAGCTTCTAACCTTCCTCTTTACATACAAAAAGTTTCAAAATTTTCCCTTCACTAGTTTTCCAGGAAAACTTTGAAATATGTGAGACTGTATTTTCAATTAATTCAGTTATTGTAGGTTGATTTCCAAGATTCCTCATGTTGTAATTTTCTACTGGAAAAATTTGAAATTTTGGGAAAATGAGCTTCTCACCTTCCTCTTTACATACAAAAAGTTTCAAAATTTTCCCTTCACTAGTTTTCCAGGAAAACTTTGAAATATGTGAGACTGTATTTTCAATTAATCCAGTTATTGTAGGTTGATTTCCAAGATTCCTCATGTTGTAATTTTCTGTTGGAAAAATTTGAAATTCTGGGAAAATGAACTTCTCACCTTCCTCATCTTTACATGCAAAAAGTTTCAAAATTTTCCCTTCACTAGTTTTCCAGGAAAACTTTGAAATATTTGAGACTGTATTTTCAACTAATTCAGTTTTTGTAGGTTGATTTCCAATATTTCTTATGTTGTTATTTTCCACTAGAAAAATTTGAAATTTTAGAAATATGAGCTTCTCACCTTCCTCTTTACATGCAAAAAGTTTCAAAATTTTCCCTTCACTAGTTTTCCAGGAAAACTTTGAAATTTTTGAGACTGTATTTTCAACTAATTCAGTTTTTGTAGGTTGATCTCCAATATTTCTTATTTTGTTATTTTTCACTAGAAAAAATTTAAAATTTTAGAAATATGAGCTTCTCACTTTCCTCTTTACATGTAAAAGGTTTCAAAATTTTCCCTGAAAATGAGCTTCTAACCTTCCTCTTTACATACAAAAAGTTTCAAAATTTTCCCTTCACTAGTTTTCCAGGAAAACTTTGAAATATGTGAGACTGTATTTTCAATTAATTCACCTATTATAGGTTGATTTCAAGATTCCTCATGTTGTAATTTTCTATTGGAAAAATTTGAAATTCTGGGAAAATGAGCTTCTCACCTTCCTCTTTACATGCAAAAAATTTCAAAATTTTCCATTCACTAGTTTTCCAGGAAAACTTTGAAATTTTTGAGACTGCATTTTCAACTAATTCAGTTTTTGTAGGTTGATCTCCAATATTTCTTATGTCGTTATTTTCCACTAGAAGAAATTTAAAATTTTAGAAATATGAGCTTCTCACTTTCCTCTTTACATGTAAAAAGTTTCAAAATTTCCCCTTCACTAGTTTTCCAGGAAATCTTTGAAATGTGTGAGACTGTATTTTCAATTAATTCAGTTATTGTAGGTTGATTTCCAAGATTCCTCATGTTGTAATTTTCTACTGGAAAAATTTGAAATTTTGGGAAAATGAGCTTCTCACCTTCCTCTTTACATACAAAAAGTTTCAAAATTTTCCCTTCAGTAGTTTTCCAGGAAAACTTTGAAATATGTGAGACTGTATTTTCAATTAATCCAGTTATTGTAGGTTGATTTCCAAGATTCCTCATGTTGTAATTTTCTGTTGGAAAAATTTGAAATTCTGGGAAAATGAACTTCTCACCTTCCTCATCTTTACATGCAAAAAGTTTCAAAATTTTCCCTTCACTAGTTTTCCAGGAAAACTTTGAAATATTTGAGACTGTATTTTCAACTAATTCAGTTTTTGTAGGTTGATTTCCAATATTTCTTATGTTGTTATTTTCCACTAGAAAAATTTGAAATTTTAGAAATATGAGCTTCTCACCTTCCTCTTTACATGCAAAAAGTTTCAAAATTTTCCCTTCACTAGTTTTCCAGGAAAACTTTGAAATTTTTGAGACTGTATTTTCAACTAATTCAGTTTTTGTAGGTTGATCTCCAATATTTCTTATTTTGTTATTTTTCACTAGAAAAAATTTAAAATTTTAGAAATATGAGCTTCTCACTTTCCTCTTTACATGTAAAAGGTTTCAAAATTTTCCCTGAAAATGAGCTTCTAACCTTCCTCTTTACATACAAAAAGTTTCAAAATTTTCCCTTCACTAGTTTTCCAGGAAAACTTTGAAATATGTGAGACTGTATTTTCAATTAATTCACCTATTATAGGTTGATTTCAAGATTCCTCATGTTGTAATTTTCTATTGGAAAAATTTGAAATTCTGGGAAAATGAGCTTCTCACCTTCCTCTTTACATGCAAAAAATTTCAAAATTTTCCATTCACTAGTTTTCCAGGAAAACTTTGAAATTTTTGAGACTGCATTTTCAACTAATTCAGTTTTTGTAGGTTGATCTCCAATATTTCTTATGTTGTTATTTTCCACTAGAAGAAATTTAAAATTTTAGAAATATGAGCTTCTCACTTTCCTCTTTACATGTAAAAAGTTTCAAAATTTCCCCTTCACTAGTTTTCCAGGAAATCTTTGAAATGTGTGAGACTGTATTTTCAATTAATTCAGTTATTGTAGGTTGATTTCCAAGATTCCTCATGTTGTAATTTTCTACTGGAAAAATTTGAAATTTTGGGAAAATGAGCTTCTCACCTTCCTCTTTACATACAAAAAGTTTCAAAATTTTCCCTTCAGTAGTTTTCCAGGAAAACTTTGAAATATGTGAGACTGTATTTTCAATTAATCCAGTTATTGTAGGTTGATTTCCAAGATTCCTCATGTTGTAATTTTCTGTTGGAAAAATTTGAAATTCTGGGAAAATGAACTTCTCACCTTCCTCATCTTTACATGCAAAAAGTTTCAAAATTTTCCCTTCACTAGTTTTCCAGGAAAACTTTGAAATATTTGAGACTGTATTTTCAACTAATTCAGTTTTTGTAGGTTGATTTCCAATATTTCTTATTTTGTTATTTTCCACTAGAAAAATTTGAAATTTTAGAAATATGAGCTTCTCACCTTCCTCTTTACATGCAAAAAGTTTCAAAATTTTCCCTTCACTAGTTTTCCAGGAAAACTTTGAAATTTTTGAGACTGTATTTTCAACTAATTCAGTTTTTGTAGGTTGATCTCCAATATTTCTTATTTTGTTATTTTTCACTAGAAAAAATTTAAAATTTTAGAAATATGAGCTTCTCACTTTCCTCTTTACATGTAAAAGGTTTCAAAATTTTCCCTGAAAATGAGCTTCTAACCTTCCTCTTTACATACAAAAAGTTTCAAAATTTTCCCTTCACTAGTTTTCCAGGAAAACTTTGAAATATGTGAGACTGTATTTTCAAT